TGTGTGTGTGTGTGTGTGTGTGTGTGTGTGTGTCTGAGAGAGAGCTTTGGGATTGTGGAAGACAAAGTTGTGTGTAAGAGAGTATGTGTGAGAGAATGAGAGAGCAGTGGCTGTCTTTACTATGTCGGAAGACAAAGTTGTGTGTGTGCTTATGTGTGTGTGTGAGAGAGAGATCTTTACGATGCTAGAAGACAAAGTTGTGTGTGTGACAGCGTGTGTCTGCGTGTGTGTGAGAGAAAGTGAAAGCAGTGGATGTCTTTACTATGCGGAAGACAAAGTTGTGTGTGTGTGTGTTTATGTGTGTGAGAGAGAGCTGTTTACCATGCCAGAAGACAAAGTTGTGTATATGAGTGTGTGTGTGTGTGTGTGAGAGAGAGAGAGAGAGAGATCTTTGCAATGCCAGAAGACAACATTGCGTATGTAAGTGTGTGTTCCTCTGTGTGTGAGAGAGATTTAGGATGCCAGAAGACAAAGTTGTGTCTGTGAGTGTGTGTCTGTGTGATTCTGTGAATATGAGGGATATCTTTACGATGCCAGACGACAACAGTGTGTGTGTGTGTATGTGTGAGAGAGAGTGAGAGAGAGAGAGAGAGAGAGATCTTTATCATGCTGGAAGACAAAGTTGTGTAGATCTGAATGTGTGTGTTGGAAACCACACATGCCACCATGTGGGTGCTTCCCAAATACTCCTGGTTTTGTGAATGGTCAGAGTCTCTTACGTGCAAACACGTGTTCTTGGCTCAAGGCTCATTTCTTTCTTCCCTTGCGCAATTTCTTGCTAGCTTCTTTATTTCTTTAATGGAAGATAAAGTGCCAAGGAGTCCAACGTGTGTGTGTGTATTTGTGTGTCTTATGAAGCTCTGCCTTACTCTCAAGTAACCCCCTTGACGTTAAAGGAGAAGCAGGTGCCATGGTTTGGGGGATTTGGGTGGCTTTGGGTAAGTCACACTCTCTCAGCCTCAGAGGATGGCAAGGGCATTTTTGACATTTCTTCCACCTGTGCAAATGTCCTGACAGCTGGCGGCAAGCTCCATTGCTCTCCTGCCCTGAGTTCAAGGTTGAACTTGCCAACTTGATAACTCATGAGATCTTGAAACATTTCTCTGGCGTTTTAAAAAGTTGACACACAAAGCCCTCGCGAGTGTGCAAATATTATTGTTGTCATCATTGTGGTGGTGCCTTCAAGTCCTTCCTGACTTATGGCGATCCTAAGATGAACCTATCATGGGCTTTGCTTTTTCAGAGGAGGTTGGCCATGGCCATCCTCTGAGGCTGAGAGAGTGTGACTCGCTCAAGGTCACCCAGTGGGTTTCTATGGCCAAGCAGGGATTCGAACCCTGGTCTCTGGATGCTTGGTCCAACACTCAGACCATTACACCATGTGGCTCCCAATAAATTGATACAGGCTGGAAAAAGAGGCAATGAGGGACCATTCTTACAATGGCATTTTCACTCAAATGCACAAAATGCATGATGGGATTTGTGCATTAAATGATCAAAATGCATGATGGGTTGTGTGCTCTTAATGCCCAAAATGCACCCTGTCTTTTATGCATCCAATGCCCTAAGTGCATCATGAATTGTGTACATTATATGACCAAAATAAGTGATGGGTTTTATGCTTTTAATGTTCAAAATGCACCATGTTTTCTGTGCATCAAACGCCCCAAACACATTGTACGTTACCTGCACAAAATGCATGATGCATTTTATACATTTTATGCACAGGTCGTCCCATGATGTCTTTGGTGCACTGATTGCTCAAAACACATGATGCATTGTGGGCATGTCATGCCCAAAATACAGGATGCATTCTGTGCATGATGCATTTTGTGCATTTTGGTTGGCCGATCAAAGGCATCCCTGCTTTGTGGATTTGGGACGTTGTTGTACTTTACCAAACAATAAAAAGAAGTGTGCTTAATGCTGTTTGGGTTGCAAATGGCATTGTTAGCAGCAGTACGCATTGATAGTTGAAAGTCGCCCAGTGGGATTTCCTCGTCTCCCACAAGGCTTTCCCCATTTCCCCTTCCTCCCACCCTCTTCCACCAGCAGATGCTTTCCTTCTTTCTTTCCTCTGTCACCGCTCAGCCTGTTTTCTGTCTCCCTGGCCACATTACATGGCTTTTATTTCTTTATCTCAAGTGCCCTATACTTGACCTACATGATTGCTGTCATTCAAAGAAGACTTTCCCAAAGCCAAGAAAACAGGGAAAGCAGAGAGAGGAAGGGAGGGAAGTTCCCACTCTCCTCCCATTGCCTTTCTCCTGCTCACTTTCTGCTCTCTTCCTCCACACTTTCACCTTGGAGGAGATGCACCCAACTAGGGCTGCCTCCGCACTGCAGAAATAGTCCAGTTTGACACCACTTTAGCTGCTGTGTCTCAGTGCTATGAGATCCTGGGAGCTGTAGTGCTATGAGATCCTGAGAGAAGGCTCAAATGTCTCACAAAACTACAATTGCCAGAATCGCATAGCATTGAGCCATGGCAGTTAAAGTGCTGTCAAACCAGATTATTTCTGCAGTGCAGAGGCAGCCAAAGAACCCTGACCAAACTTTCTCCCCGCCAATCCCATCCCATCCCATGTAGCATCTTCTTAGATTCCTCTTGGAGTGAAGCCAAAGAATGAGGAAAATCCAAGATGCAAATCTGCAAATATCCCACTCTTCACCTTTTCCCAACCAGCATCATCCCATCACACCTATGTTCAGACTTTTGATGGGATTTCAAGAGGACCAAGACTGCAAACCATCTTTCTTTGGGGTGACTTTATAGTGGTGGTGGGTTCAAAATGTCCCCTGGCCATTTATGGCAAAGTTGCCTTTCATTGTTATATTTTAAGTTGTTGCCGTGTGCCTTCAAGTCATTTACAAATTATGGCAACCCTAAGGCAGTCTAACCCTGTCGTGGGTTTGCTCTGCAAGTTTCTTCAGAGAGGCATTGTCATGGCCATCCTCTGAGGCTGAGAAAGCGTGACTTGCCCAGAGTCACCACCCAGTGGGGTTCATGTTTTTGGAGGAGGGCTGGATTTGGAGAGGCAGCAGCCTTGCTTTTGTGATTGACATCTGAGAAAACACGCTCTGGATCTGTGAGGATATAGGATCGGGATAGGATTGTGCTGGATGATGGGCCCAAAGCTTCTGTGGTAGTGGATGGGAGTGAGACCTATTTCCGAGTAAACCTTCCTTGGCATTCAAGTTTCTTCAGAGGGGCTTTGCTATGGCTATCCTCCAAGGCTGATAGAGTGTGACTAGCAATTTGTAAGCAGGACCTTCAAAACTGGGAAGACATGGGTGTGGGGGAGAGACGAGATGGGGCTGAGAGAGTGTAACTTGTCCAATGTCACCTGGCGAGTTTCCACGGCCAAGTCGGGATTTGAACCCTGCTGTCCAGAATACTAATCCAACACTCAAACCATATTACACCCTGCTGGCTCTCAACAACCCTTTTTGTTTAAAAAGAGGGCTGTAAGGAGACATTTTATGAGAATCTTCACGTTCAAGCCAGGCCTTGGGCTAGGATGCAATACTCATTAAAAAAAAAAAAAAATTGCAAGGAGTCCTGAATGCTTGTAATTGAAGGGCCAGAGATTAGATTGTGGCTTGACCAGTGCACAGAAATGACCCTCCCTCCCTTCTTTAGCAACAAACAGAGCATTTGGAAAGATTAAAATTTCTCCTTCTTGTTCCCCTGCTCGCTCAGATCACCTCTCCTCTCTCTTTTAGCACCATCCCTTCTTCCAGGGGGTTGGGGAGTTGACTCCAAGCCAGGTTTGGCCGTGTGTATAAACACCTGGAAGTCTTCCAAGGAGCAAGACTCTTAGAGTATCCTTCACAAAGGCTAGGGCTTTTTTTATGGTTTTTCTTTTCCTTTTCTCTCCATTCACTCCCCACACACACCTCCCTCCTTTAGACCAGCATGAGTGTAAGGAGAGATTACGCTTCCTTCCTGAAGGGGCTAGCAAAGATTTCGAGCTGCCAAAGCTTTGATGGTTTTCAAATTTGGAATGTGACCGCAGGGACCAGCTATAGTTCAAGGATACATATCCAGGGGTAGCCAGGTTAGCCCCATTGCAAAGTACAATAACATCCCAAATCCACAAAACAGGGATACCTTTAGTGGAGCCACCAAAATGCACAAAATGCAAGCTTTCAAGGCTCCACTGGCTTCTTCATCAGGCAAAGGTGTTTTTAAAAATAATTGTTGGCCACCCTGGCCCTACCAGTCCTGATGATGTCCAATCCTAGTGAGTATGGAGATCTTGTAGGACCTTTGAGACACACTGAAATAAAGAAGTTAGCAGCATGAACTTTTGTAGACTTCAGTCTACTTCCTCAGATGCATTTAGTCTAAATGCATCTAAGGAAGTAGACAAGCCTACGAAAGCTCATGCTGCCACTTCTTTCTTTCAGTGAGTTTCAAAGATGCTACAAGATCTCTCTACATACTGATTCTACAGACTAACATGGCGTTATCTTTGAACAATCCCAGTGAGACAGTCTTCACAATGCACCATCATCATGGAACTGTGGGATTTGCAGTTTGTTGTGGCTCCAGAGCTCACTGACAGAGAAGGCTAAATCGCTCACAAAATGACAAATTCCAGAATCCCATAGCATATTGTAGATGCAGTCCATATCTTCAACAAGGGCGATCTATTTGCGTCCTCAGCAAGGGCGAGGACTTCTCCAAAGGAGAGGAAATGGCCAGGGTCTCAGCAGTTGGGGTGCCTCACGCTATTACTCCAGAGTGAGTTTCCCTCCCCACTCTAGTCCCTGTTGTTGGTAGAAATGCATCATCATCAACAACAACAACAAATCAAGAAAAATAAGTCATCAAGTTGCATTAGCGTCCCAGATGCTAATTCATTTCCCAGATGCAAAGTTGGAAAGAGTTGGAATTGAAATGGGGGGAGAGGGGGACAAGTGCCTGAAATCCTGCATCATCTAACTCTACACTTATTTGCTAACACAGTAGTTGTGCAAAACCATCCTCCTGTTGAATGCCAGCGCTGTGTGTTGCAAATCCGCCAGCATGCCTGCTTATCCTCTGGTTGTGCATTGTGGAATGATTAATGGGTGTTTCTTTTGACAGCCCTATTGGGTCAAATGGTACCTTGGAGATGCTAATGAATAGTGATAAGAAGAATATTCAAAATTGTTAGGGGGCAAATGGTTCAAATGTGTTTTTCTTGTGCAGAGAAAACCAGGTAAGAATTCTGAACAGATGAGAGTGTTTGTCCTTTGCTGCTGTGAATGATGGACTTCTGATCTTCTGTTGACCAAGGTGCAGCGGATTGATGTTTCCATGCACATGCCACCAATGATCTCCAGAAGCAAGATCCCTCTTGCACTCAAGATCACTAGAAGGAGGAGGATGAAAACATCAGTCTGCTGTGTCCTGATCAACAGGAAAACAAAGCGCCTATGCTCACTTCAATTGACACCTGGTAAAGAAGAATGGGCTGGAGGGACAGGTTTACAATTATGGCAATAGTGCCACAATCATGAACAGATATGCTTTTGCAAATACAACTCATTTACTGTTGTACAGTGGCCTTTGGTATCCTCTGGGCATTGGTTCCAGGACCCTCTGTGGATACCAAAATGTGGATGCTCAAGTCCTATTATATAGAATGGTGCAGTAAAATGGTGTCCCTTATATAAAATGGCAAAATCAAAGTTTGCTTTTTGGAATATATATATATATATATATATATATGCATATATTTAAATATTTTGAAGCTGTGGATAGTGAAATCCATGGATAAAGAATCCGTGGATACTAAGGGTTAACTCTAAGTGACACATTTGTAACTGCAATAGTGAATTCCAGCCCATTCTTTCTATCCCTAGAAATGCTGCATTTGGTGTTGTAGTAGTAGTAGCTTCCTACAGGAAACAACTCAGGTGCCTCACCTTCTGAATAGTCATCAAAAGAGAGTTGATTCCTACCCTGAATGGTTCCTATCTCCATTTCGAGGAACTGCAATGGGTTGTCTCTCCAATGGTCTGGAGGGGAAACAGTTGGATGAATGAGTCAGAGGAGAGAAGGCATGTTGGCCAAGAGGAGTGGATTGTAAGGGCTTCCCCCAGCAACTTCTGCTTGCTGTCTTTTTCCATCCGTGGCGGATGCCAGCTTGAGAACATGATCCTGAGTTAACAGAGCCCTGTTTGACAGGAAGTGCCTCTGTTTTCCCAAACTTTCATTCCCTGGTGAAAGCAAGGTTGCGACAGGATCCAAGATGAAAGTGGAGAGAGAGAGAGAAAGAGAGAGAGGCGAGGAAGGCTGCTCTTCAACAGCCCTGCAAAGCTCTCTTGAAAAGGTGACTTCTGTGCATGGTTTTGGGGAAGTCTGAGCATCTATGAGACTTGTTGCTTTGATTC